TGATATTGCTGCGGACCTGCCGCGCTTTTTTTGGCCTCGAGGATCGTCCCCGAAAGCCTGCTGAATCTTGTGAATGGTTTACGCTCGGGTATCGCCAAGGTTTTTGGCAAAATTTGATGTAACATCGCTGCTCACGTTGTTCAGTCATTTTCCAGCTTAGTGGAATCCGACGAAAGTGCACTACATGACCTCACTCATAAGCTGATTGCCAACAACTGACGCTTCCTGCAGGCGGGAAAAAATTCAGGGCTGTGCATGACTGTCCCCTCCACAACTCCACCGAAGGAGGCCTCTCGCGCATCATTGGTTTACGCGGAAAAAAAAAAGGTCCGATACTTTTTGAACAGACCATGTATACACAAATATTTTTGTATCATTGCTATATATATATAATTTTCATAATTTTTAAATATTAATGATAATTAATAAAAATAAATGTTACCTTGCTAATTAACTTCATCATTTTTGTAATTTCATCTCTAGTCTCTGGCCATACAGACACACTTTTAATAGCTACAGCTTCAGCTAGATCTTGAATATATTCTTTTTGATGAGCCTGAATGTAACTATATATAAAATTCATCATTTTAAACCAATTATTAAATAAGTAATTTCAATAAAGTTTGAAAATTAACATTTTAAATTTTAAAATATAAAGGTGCTTCCCTACTTAAAACCTCAGGAACCTAACCTGTTTGTGTCATAAGTTCATAAATCAAAAACTAACCTAGAAAGTACATTTGTACTGTACACAAAATAACCATGTATTGTTAGTGTTTGATACTTCAGTATACTTAATAGAATACGTTACTCTTGTTTACCTGCTTGCTACTGCATAATAGCAGGTGTTTCAATGTTTTCTTTTTATCTTTACACACTTAGTTTTATAATGTCAAGTTTAGTTTCCACAGCAATAGTGCCACATTTCTTGCATTCATCTCCACTGTTAGATTTACTACAGTAGAGCCTCGAAAACTCGGCACTCAATAACTCGGCACTTGATAACCCGGCACTCCGGATAACTCGACCACATCCTGGCAGGGCAAAAAAATCCTTAGTTAATTAATTTTTTTGATAAAGACAGCTTTATGCTTTATGAAGTATTTTTCTAAGGTCTGTCTTATCAGGTAAATTACTGTACAGTGTATTCATTAATTTTCATTCTCATGTAGTAAAGGCTCTATTCTATGCCTTCATAAAAGACATACTTTTCCTTTGTTTAAACAAAAGGGTAAAGTTGGAATCTGTACTAAAAGAATCGGTTTGGATATTTTGTTTGTATATCTGTTTTATGTATCACTATTAGTAACGTTTGTTCGCAGACATTACTATTTCTCAGTAATGAACAACCACAATGTAATAGAAGCAAATCTACCAAATTATTACAAAAAACTTTTGCGATATAAGCGTTAAATTAAACACGTATGTCACTAAATTGGCGAGCGCTTTGGACTTAAAAATTAATAAATCCCGAAATAGCACTACATACTCCGTGTTCCACAAATTCAGTGGTGTACCTCCTCTAATCCTTGCTACGGCATATCAACCGCAACATTACGTCAATGCGGCAATTTCACCTTTAATAAGAAGGGCCTTCCTCTTATCATCCAACCAGGCGGCTATTGACACCGAACTTAATATTATCTACCAAGCGATAAATGAGGCGGGTTACAGCAAAGCCAAATTTAATTACATCTTAAATAAGGTAAAAACATCACTCTTTCCTGCCACCACACTACGCCGTCCGAAGGAGTCCACAATAGTCCTGCCCGCGATACCATTTTCTGGCCGTGTCACTCTCCGTATTTGTCGTATTTTTAGGCGACATGATTTGTTTCTGTCGATCTCTCCGCGGCCGAATCTTAGGAGGTTGCTGTCCAACGACAGGGATCCTTTATCCACCATTGAAAAATCGGGGGTTTATTCAGTCCCATTAGAGAATGATTTAGGCGGTTGCACCCATTATATTGGTGCGACAACCAGAATGTTAGCTAACCGTATTTTAGAGCATCAACATTCCATCAGGGACAGCAAAAATGACACAGAACTTGCCAGAATGGTACTACAACACAAGCATACTCCTTTGTGGAATGATGTGGTCATACTAAAACATTGTGACAACAAAAATCTCGTATACATCTGGGAAGCCCTCATCACCAACGCATTAAGGCCCTGCAACACCCCCACACTGGATTTGCCCCCTTTGTGGATCAGCTTGTACAGTTATATAAAACATCGCAATTAAATCCACAATATAGAGGCGTCTAGCGCATGCGCAGTATAAGCGCGTGCTTTTTATTTAAATATCTTTTTGTATTCTACCGTTGCTGGTATTCCAAAATGTTAGTTAGGATTGGAATGTTTTTTAAAAATTTTGTATTCAAAAAAAGGTTCTTATACAGTATCTTCTAATGACCTGAAGAAAACGAAAGTGTGTATCGTCGAAAGCGCTCGCCAATTTAGTGACATACGTGTTTAATTTAACGCTTATATCGCAAAAGTTTTTTGTAATAAATGATTAGCGTGCTGTCCATCACTATATTATAGATATCTACCAAATTATTTATTACTGGCTAAAGACTGACTTCAATGACAACTCACGACATGTAGACAATGAAAAAACTCCAATAATTGGATTTATTAAATAAAATTTAATGTAAAAAAAACCTTAAATCCAGTAAAAATAGAACAATTAATAGAACAAACATTTGAGACCATGTACTGTACAATGGCCATCTTCGGGTTCTAGAATAGAACAGGTAGCATACAGTAATACCTCGACTTATGCGATTTTCAAATCTTGTCTATTCGTCTTTTGTTTGCCACGCAACTCGTGATTACTCACCCCCCACACTATTGTTCAACTTACATGTTCGGACATGTTGCGCAGAATCAACACACAGCTACAATTTATTTTGTGTTATTTATTTCTGTGTTTGTTATATCTATGGAGACTTGACAGACTATGTGGTGATTTCTTGTAACCGTGAACGAATCAAAAGACAAGATAAGATTAAAGCTATGTACACATTAGGAATTTTGTGTTGCGTTAAATGCACGTTAGCAGCATACGCACTGTGCGTTAGTTCTGCGTTCAACAACGTTTAGTGGAGCGTTAGCACTGGCTCGGTTTGGAAATGGACATGAAAGTAATTGCTTGTGTGTACCTCCTCCATCGTCGCTATAAAAGACGATGGCAGAGGCAAAGAGAATTTTGAGTGCACCCAATATTACGAGATAGACTGACGCATAGAACGTTTCTGACATTGTATCCAAAACTAAGATAATATGAACCCAAATTTTTTAATTCTTTTAGAATGTCTATAAAATCATTTGACAATAGCTGGTCTCTTTTAGATTTCATCAATAAATCTAACGTAATCTAGACGGTTGATTTGCGACCTTGGATCAGTATCAAAATGATCGTTCTCCATTTTGGCTAACATACGTCCACTCTACCTGAAAGCACGTGATCGAATGTACAACAACATGGCAGCACATATACGAGTATATTAAAGCGCACGGCTGACGCCCATGAAACACACGTTCTAACTAAAATCTATCAATGCGCATTTGACACACACTTGGCCAGAAGTGCACGTTTGAGTATGTACACCTATGCAGAACTCTTGGTTCTTTAAAATGTGTGTTTAAAAACGCCTAATGTGTACACAGCCTAACGAGAACATTTATTAGCTTACATACATCCGACTTGGATTTTACACAAATTGCAAAATTATACCCTGACTTATGCGAATTCAACTTATGCTGTTATTGCTCGGTCCCACCTATCGCGTAAGTTCGGGGTATTACTGTATTTTTGAATGTTTTTAGTTTCAAATTAGAAAATTTACCTTGATAGTCACATGTGCATTAAATAAATCATAGGAAATAGGAATAAATAATTAACAAAATAAATAATAATAGGATTAAAAATATTAAATATAAAATAATTAAATAAATACATCAATATATATATTGAGAGTAAAAACCTAAATATAGCAAAATGGTTATAAACAAAACTATAAAACTAATGGTCTCCAAACATGTGGCACAACTGCAGAAGCTTTAAAGTTAACTGCAGTTCATTCCACTAATTGTTAAGATTTTTTATAATAAATAGCCATGCACAGAGCTTTTACAATAAGCATCCTGTTTATTGAATAAACACACACATGAAAAGAGAAACATAGGTACGAGGATAGGGTCCCAACCACGTTACAAAAAGCACTCACTCTCAGGCAAAGTTAACAATTCTTAACATTCCCTCCTCTCAATTTGCAGTTTAAAACATTAAATATTAATTAAACAAAAACTGAATTAGAAAAGGTGCATAAGCAAACGTCTTAGGTGATCTGGATCATATTACTCAGTTTAGAAAACCCCTCCTGAGACAATGGTTTTGTGAAAATGTCTGCTATGTTTTCACTAGAAGCAACATACTGCATCTTTATGATAGTCTTCAACTATCACGAAGAGTACTAGTGGGAGATCTCTCTAGCTGGTAAGCAGCATATCTAATTGCTTTTCCCCAAAGAGTTTTTGGCAGTTTATTGTCAATGAGCATTGTTCTTGCTTTGTCGACTAACATTCTGTTCAATCTCTCTGCCACACCATTCTGTTGAGGTGTGTACGGCATTGTATATTCCAATTCCGTGCCTCTGTTTGAACAAAAGATTGTGGTTTTTTGAGTTGTTGTTGCCTTTATCTTTTGTCGCTACGAGTGGAAGAAATGAATGAGACGAGATCGTAACAAAAAACTAAACTGTACTAAAAATTACGAATTATGACTGTAAAATATCGTCACCAGGAGAACCTTTTTAATCTACATTTTCCAGTGCTCTCTACTCTGTGGATAAAAGGCAGAAATACCCCCAAGAAAGTACAGATGGTAACAAGGAAGACGTTCATATAACACCAGTTCCGATTTTAGAAAATCTGTGTGTTTTTAATTGGAAATCTTTGTGTTTTTAAAAGGACTTTTTTAAACTTTTTGGCGGCTAGTAGCCTAGAAAGGAAGGTTGATCGCCGGAAAAGTATTGTCTACAATGCAAAAGTAAGAAATAGTGATCCCTATTTAGGCAAACTTGTCTTCAAATAATAATAATAATAAAAAAACTAAACTTTTATTGTCCTTCTCGCGTACTTGGTACCGCACGTCTCGACGACGCGGCTAACAAAGACAACTGGTGGTCGACGGTCTTTGTGGGATGAGTTCGAATTTATTCCAGGAAGTGATTACTCATACACCCAGGGATAATTGCTTGTATTTTACAACCATTAAGGGTACAGATGTGAAGGGCGGCGTTCGCCACAGAGTATCCCCCCCAATGAGGGACGAGCGATAGAATTGATGCCGAACGAGTCGCTTAACATTACATTATGGTGACTAGTCTTTTAAGAAAATGAACGTGACGGCCTGATCTAGTTGTGACAGTTTGATCTTCTCTAGAGGTAGTTTCCAGATTTTTGTTGTTCACTGTTGCTGATGACAGTGGTGTCTGCGATGGACTTGACTGATGGGTTTGATAATAGATTCCTGGGGTGATTCGTCCTGTAAGATATACGCTGGTTTTACTCTGTCAATGGAGACGGTTGATTTGCGACCTTGGATGTCAATTACTATTGTTTTGTCGTGTTTTTCTAGCACTTTGTATGGGCCCGAGTAAGGCTGGCGGAGAGGTCAATTTGCGTCAAATCTTAAGAAAACATGTGCACATTCCTTTAGCTCTGAATGAGTGAAAATTTTCTGTGTGGAATGAGCGGAAGTTGCTAACGGTTTCAGATTGGCCATGTGGGTTTTTAGTTGACTGACAAATGATTTGCGAGGAACTCGTGGGGTGTCGGGGCTAATGATGTCAGCTGGTAATTTTAACGGGGTACCATATAACAGTTCGGCTGCTGTGCCTATATTGGCTTTAATTGCTGAACGAATTCCCAGGAGGACTACCAGAAGGGCGTCTGTCCATTTGGAGGATTCGTGTGACATTAACAATGCCTTAAGGCATCTATGTAATCGTTCTATTAAACCGTTTGATCGGGGATGGTATGCTGCTGAATGGATGCGATTGGTGCCGAGAAGTCTGGTCAGTTCTAGGAAGAGGTTTGATTCAAACTGACGTCCTCGATCAGTGGTGATGGTAGTAGGGCATCTGAATCTTGCAAGGATCCAACCTGAGAAAAAGGCTCGGCATACAGTCTCAGCAGATATGTCAACAATTGGGATGACCTCTGGCCATCTGGTAAAACAATCGATCACTGTAAGGCAGTAGTGTTTCCCGTCAGCTGGCGGAAGTGGTCCTATCAGGTCCATGTGAAGATGGGAAAATCTTGCTTCCGGAGTGTAAACTTCCCTATTGGTGTCCAGGCGTGGCGGTGGATTTTCGATTTCTGGCAGGGGATGCAATGTTGTGCCCACTAACCTTCTGCATGCCCGACCAAACATAACGGCTTGAAATTAGCTTAGTGGTTGCTGTTGCTCCTGGATGAAAAAGTCCATGTAGGTGATCGAATATGATATGTTGGAAATTATGCGGCACGAAGGGGCGAGGTATTCCGGATGATGTGTCACAGTATAGGTCGATTTTGTTAGGTGGAAGGATTTCAGCTCTAATTTGAGCGACATAGGATCCTTTAACAATTGATGAAGTTCCAAATCTGTAGCTTGTGATGTGGCTAGCACTCGGAAGTCTAGAGGGGAAGCAGAGGTGATAGAATCTATCTTGATGAAGGAGAGAGCGTCTGCTATTGTGTTGGCTGTGCCCGGAATATGACGTATATCCGTAGAGAATTGGGATATAAAATCGAGATGCCGCATTTGTCATGGTGAACATTTATCTGGTTTTTGTTTGAAGGCGTATATAAGCGGTTTTTGATCCATGTAGATCGCGAATTCACGGCCTTCTAACATGTGGCGAAATCGTTTTATTGATGCGTATATTGCCAATAGTTCTCTATTATAAGCTGACCAGTTGCGTTGGTTTGGTGCCAATTTTGCTGAGATAAAAGCAATGGGTTCCCATTTCCTGTTGTATTGCATCAGTGCTCCTCCAACTGCTGCATCTGACGCATCTACCCATATGCATAGTTTAGCTCCGGGTATTGGATGCTGGAGAAGTGTGGCTTTGGCCAGTGCTTCCTTAGCCAATATAAAGGATTGTTCTGCCGATTCTGACCATTGCAGAGATTGTGATTCTGTTTTCCGAGTGAGTGACGTACGTTTCTCATTCTTTTTTCCTTCTAGTAGTTGCACTAGCGGGGTGAGGATGTGTGCCGCTCGAGGGATGCATCTCCTGTAGAAATTTATTGTACCTAAGAATCGTCTAAGTTGAGTGAGAGACAAAGGTTTGGGAAATTCTCGGATGGCTCTGACTATCAGGGAGTGGTTCCAGACCCTTTTCCGAGACCTTGAATCCGAGAAATTCGATTGATGGTACACCAAAGGTACATTTTGATGGATTTATGGTCAACCCATATTCCTAGAGACATTGGAATAAGGCGCGAAGATGCGAGATGTGTTCTTCCTGGGAGTGTGACGCTATTAATATGTCATCGACGAAAGCATATGCGAAGGAGAGTCCTCTGGTTACTTCATCGATGAACCGTTGAAATGTTGTGGATGCGTTGCACAATCCGAATTGCATCCTGGTACTCTCGAAAAGACCAAACGGTGTCGTTATAGCTGTTTTGTGCACGTGCGGTGGGTAGATGAATATCTGATGATAGGCCTTGATTAAGTGTATGTGAGAGAAGATTTGTGTTCCGTGCAGTTCCGATGTGAAATCTGCAATGTTTGGAACGCTGTATCTGTCCTTTATGGTTTGTGCGTTTAGAGCACGATAATCTCCCACGGGTCGCCAATCCGAACTGTTTTTCTTGGTGACCATATGGATTGGTGATGCGTAATTGCTTTTTGATGTTCACATATGGCCAAGAGCTATCATCTTATTGAATTCGGCCTTAGCGATTTTAAGTCTATCGGGAGCTAGGCGACGTGGTTTCGCAGTTATGGGCGGACCAATCGTTTCTATATGATGTACTACGTTGTGTTTTATGGGTTGATTAGGACGTGGAGGTCTGGTGATCTCAGGAAATTCTTCCAATATCTTATGATATATGGAGTCGTCGGTCGTTATCTTAATAGAGTGGATGAAGGTTTCTAATAATTTGCCTGGAGAGTTCACCTTTGTCTGAACGTCTGTGAGACATTTGCGTCTAAGATTCAGTACCAAATGGAAATGATACAAGAAATCTGCACCTATTATTGCTGTTGACATGTTGCAAATAAGGAATTTCCAGCAAAAAATTTTCTTTAACCCAAAATTGAGTGTCAGTGTTCGTTGGTCATAGACATAAATTGCAGTTGTGTTTGCTGCCATCAAGGTCATTTGAGATGCGCGCTTCTTTTGAGATGAGGAGGCTGGAAATATTGATACGTGATACGTAATATTGGAACCTGTGTCAACGAGAAAGTTTATGTTCGTTCTCTTGTCTAGGATGAACAGGCAACAAGATTGTTCCGGCAAAGCGAATGTCGTCTCTACGCTACGCCGTTCTCGTTTGTTGGAAAACTATACGGAGGAATACATTTTTGTGCCTTTCCGCCAAAACGGTTGTGGTACCAGCAGTAGTTGTTGATACTGCGGTGAGTCGAATTGTTCCAATGTCCTGAACTGCTGCGGGAGTGTCAAGAAAAATGGTTACTGCAATCCCGACATGCCTGCATTAGTTGATTGATTCGCTTGTTAAGTTTATCTATTTCAACTAGTATTTTGTTGGTTACGGTATCGGGTTTCTCAGGTTGCAATACTGAAGCTATCATTGCGGGGGATACTTCCACCACACAGTCCACTATCTCCGCTGCTTTGTCTACATCGAGTGGGGTAATGGCGGCTAGGATAGATTGGACGGAAGTCAAAAGGTGTTGTATGAATAATTCTAGTATAACTGCATCCGGGATTTGAAAATTTTCCGCCCAACGCTTTAGAACACGTAGTAGTTCGGAGGGTTTGCGATCTCCTAGCTGTTCTTCGGCCAATAGTTTTCGTAACTCCTGTTGAAACAATTCGCCGGATTGTTTAATAAGTTCCACCTTTATGTGACCGTATGGGTCTGTACAGTCCGGAGAAATAATAATGTCTCTAACCGTTGATGCGACTTCCGGTGGTAAATGGGCCACTACGTAGTTGAACTTTGTGGCACTTTCCGTGATCGGCTTTGGCGATCCTAGCACAAATGTGCTTTCGCACATGTGGAACCATAAGGCTGGGTCGGAAAAGTTGTATGGAGGGATTTTTACAGCTCCAATCTCGGCCATGATCTGACGACTGAGGTCTTGAGAAAAGGAAAACGGTGTACAGTACCTGATGAAGGTTCCAATGGTAGTTCTTAGTCGAATTATGTTCTTAGTCCGGCTCACCAATGTGGTTTTTTGCGTTGTTGTTGCCTTTATCTTTCGTCGCTGCGAGTGGAAGAAACAAACGAGATGAGATCGTAACAAAAACAAAACTTTTATTATCCTTCTCGTGTACTTGGTACTACACGTCTCGACGACGCGGCTAACAAAGACAACTGGTGGTTGACGGTCTTTGTGGGGTGAGTTCGAATTTATTTCAGGAAGTGATGACTCGTACACCCGGGGGTAATTGCTTGTATTTTACAACCATTAAGGGTACAGATGTGAAGGGCTGCATTTGCCACAAGATTTTTTAAGATGCCCAGTTTCAGAATAAACAATAAAAAGGTTTTCAGTTCATTTGAAATGAATTCTCTTCCATCATCACACATGATCCTGCTAACACCCAGATTAAATTGCACTTTGAATTGTTTGACAGTTTATTAGATTCTGTAGTGCTTCACTTTTACTTTTCAATGGATATAATTTTGTGTGTGAAGTGCAAGTAATCATCAATAATACATTGGAATTATCTTTCATTTATATTGCATGAAATTACAGGTCCACTAATATTGATGTGTAACAGCTCTCCCAATTGCTTACATCTAGACGTAGTCTCCTTCATAAATGGAAGTCTGGCAGCCTTTCCTTCTATGCACACTTCACATATATTATTGTCAAATGGCAGGTTAAGTAACTTCAATCCATGTCTATTTAGGTGACCAAATCTTCTGCATCATATATTGTCACTGCTTGCCAACATACTTGAACATCTCTTGTCATCTCTTATCTGAGCTACTATTGTAAAGAGCTTATTATGAGAGATGCAGTTTACTTTGAAGCCTTTTCTGACAATACTAATCCAGTTAGGTGTAAATATCATACACTTATTCTTCAATATAATTTTTCTTACTAATAGTAAATTTTGACTCAATCTTGGAACAACTAATGCTTCTAGCATGATGTTTTCACCTTGAAAACTCAGTTTCAAGGTTCCTTTTTTCTTTACAGTCAGACTCTCCATTAGCTAACTTTATATAAATCTCCTTATCAAGCTTTTTGATGTTTATCATGACACTCTTCATAGATTCCTGCACCAAGTGTTTAGTTGCCCTAGAGCAGCGGTCCCCAACCTTTTTATCGCCGCGGACCGGTCNTGGGTTATAATTTAGCAATAATAATAATAATAATAAATTACAAATAAATTTGCCCTTAGAGGGAAGCATTAGGTGACATCTTGTATTAAATTTAATAGTTCTAATTTAATTAAATAATTTCAGACTAAAGTGGATGAAAAGAATCTGCCTGGAGCAGGACTTGACCCGCAATTGCTGCTTACTGTGCCACTTACCGTTGCCAGTTATGATACCTGGACCTCCGATCCGATTTCTTCTTTCAGTATATTTAATATTATGATATAACCTGATTATGGCCCGATGATTTATGGTAGTTGATATGTTATTGCAATGTATCAAGTTTAGCAAAGTTGTGCCTTACCATCTGATTGTATGCTGAGTCTCAAAAACATTTTTTTCTAGTCTAATTTCTAGATGAATACACTAATTTTTATTTTCTTGAAAGTTATATATGGCAATTATAATAGAATAATTTTCTAAATTTTAGCGGTTAGTATTATGCATTTGCTAATATTGAAATTTAACTTAACCATATATCTTTATCAATTGATTTGTGGTATTTCTAAACTGTTCATTCTGCTTGAACAATTAGTAATCTTATATGGTTTTATTATCAAGTTTCAAAAAGCATGTTCAGATATTCAGTAATTTATCAGTTATTTGATGTGACATATCTTGTGATCTGACAAGAGCTTAGTGCTTTGTTTTTGTCTACATCCTAAGAACAGTTAACCTAATTTTATGAATTTAAAAATTATGACTTTTTTCAAGTCATCAAGTAACTACTATAAAAAGTGAACTTACGAGGTGTGTTCAAAAAGTATCAAACCTTTGGTTGGCAAAAATAAATTTATTCACTTTGAGGTACAAAACCCTAATCCCCTTCAAAGTAGTCTCCTTGGTAATGTATATACTTCTCCCAGCGTTCCTGCCATTGCTGGAAACACTGCTGGAACGCATCTTTTGGAATGGCCATCAGCCGGTCCGTCGGATTCCGCACAATGTCTTCTCTCGACTAAATTCGGGTTCCTTTTAGCGGCATTTTCAGCTTAGGAAATAGCCAAAGGTCCCACGGAGCCATGTGGGGAGAGTACAGAGCGTGACGAACCACAGGAGTATTGTGTTTGGCGATGAAAGCCCGAATCAGATGCACAGAATGGGCGGATGCGTTATCACGATGGAGCTGATTAACTCACTAGAACGTTAAATCAATGAGAGCCCTGAGCTTGTTTCTTTGCAACAAGACTGTTCCATCTGGGGGTAATAGGAGACAATGACACCCGAAGCGTGTTTTTTATGTCCAGTCGGGTTTGTGCAACTTTTAATGAACAACGGAATAACCATTGTTCATTAAAAGTTGCACAAACCCGAGAGAGAGAAATACACCATAGTAAATAAAATGAAAATACCAGTAATTTAATGTTCCTTGGGCGGCCCGGTACCATTTGATCCACGGACTGGTACTGGTTCGCAGCCCAGGGGTTGGGGACCACTCCCCTAGAGCCTATAACAAATTGAAAATGAGAGATTCATTTTCCCTGAGACTCCACTGAATGTAAGAAATGAGATTTCATCCAAGCTATGAACAGCTGTGCTTGTTTGACCATATTTTCATCAATCCTTTTCTTTATGTTTATTACAGCAGTTTTTTCCTTATCTTACCAAGTTTTGGGCAATCTTCTTTTATTTCCTTTCTGATTACAATGGAATCATCTATAATCACAACTGCTGGCCATGAATATACTTTCATTTGTGATGTGAGGAAAGCTCATATCCACATGCTTTAGTTCAGTGTTTAGTGTCGCATGATGCCATATTCATGTATAGTTTCTAAGTTATGTTATTGTCATTTTCTATCACTTCCCTTTCCTAGCCTATTAATTTCCCTTTTGTTCTTGATTTTCCTTTGTTTCCCGAGTTTGAGAACTTTCCACCCTTGCCCTACTTCTGTGGGTATGAGCATTAGACAACAGAGTGGAGAAGGCCTTGAGGGCAAACATCAGTGTAGTCAGCACTTTTTAGTCAAGTTCCCAAAGAAGGCAGACGTGAAGAGGATGAGCTCCAGGCTTTGAGTGGCGTCAAAAGCAACAGGGTATGACCGCTAAGATACAGTTGGTACAGAAAGTGCCAGTCAGTCCTGAGAGTCGAAATGGGAAATGGGAACTGTTGTTCGGAAGACCAAAAGAAAAGTGAACTAGTGACAACTAAGAAAGAAAATACATATACCAGTGAGATTCAGGAGAACTGCAAAAGGTATATTTGGACCGTTTCATCGTGATACATGAAGATGTCATAGAAAAGGTATCCCTTTCTAAGACTTCTTTCTTCATAAATCTATCTCTCCCTATCTAACATCTCTTCCCTCTTTTAACATTAATTAGAATAAAAAAACAGATTGTAAGGTAGTTTTAAGCACAGCTGATCTTTGTGTATATTTTTATGATTTGAACCCCGTGTGTGTGAATCCTGAAAAATGGTTGAGAAGATCCTTTTGTGTAACGATCTTGATTGTTCTATACTATTGTATAAAAGTATTCACTAACAATGCGCCTGAGTTGGGACCTGATCTTTTTTTGTGTTCATACTGTATAAAATAAAGTTTTGTTCTTTATGTTATACCTGTTTCTTATTCTCATTGCACTGAACACTGCATTAGTAACCTGTTCTTGATGAATACTAAAGTCATGCTCATCATTATGTTTCTATCACAGCAACTACTGTTTCATATTCTTTTAGCAATGTTAACAGTAAGTGGCACACTATCACTTTCATCCACAGCTGCTCCCATTCCTTTGTGGTTGTACGCCTTATTTTGTATATTGTTGTATATACAGTAGACCCCCCCTATAATGTGGGTTCCTATAACGGAGATTCCTATAATGTGGCGAAAAAATTGCGACAGTATTCATATAAGGATGCTAAAAGGGACTCGTAAAACGTCGTCGCCGACTCGTGTCGTGACAGGATTGGTTGAATCTGGACCAATAGTGGACAAGCAGCCAAACTACTTTCCGCCGTCCAGCGCCACGCTATGGAGAGTTTAGGCGGGTAAATTGAGTTTACTATCTTCTGTACAGTATTATATATAAATTATATATAAATTAGGTACTGTACATATAATTATATATTAAATATATATAAATTAGGTACTGTATATATAATTATATACAGTCGACCCCCCTATAAGATATAGATACGTTCCAATTTATTAGGAATCCGATTTCTTACAAGTCATTCCAATCACAGCCCGACACGTGTCAAGTTTACGGACTACGGCTGATTGAAAGGTTTTCTTCCATAAAATTAATCGATTCTACACTAATCCGACTCAACATTTCCAAAATACGTATATTTTTTCGTAGTTTTATAGGAATCGTAATTATAGGGACCGTAATTATAGGGGGGGTCGATTATATTAACTTAATTTATTGTAACTTTATTATAATTATATATTATATACTTTCCACCGTCCAGCGCCACGCTATGGAGAGTTTAGGCGGGTAAGTTGAGTTTACTATCGTCTGTACAGTATGTAAATTAGGCACCGTAAGTCTAATACAGCACTGTAATTTTATACATTTCTTGTGAAACAAACATTTCTTATTCAACAGCCAAAAAAAAAAATTATTTATATTAATGATGTCTCAAAAGTTCAATGAATTTTTTGCAGAAAAATAACTTATCAGAAATCGCAGCCACTGTTTGGTGCGCTGCTCCACGATGAAAACAAGCTTAAGCAATGGCGATGTCGAATGGTGCACACTCAGTAAGTAATCCTACAATTTTTTGTTTATCGCATAGCATTGCAGAAATTGCTTTTAGCCCTTAGTATAATTAAATTAATTAATCAAAATATCTATAACCATAAGGTAGATAATAAGAAGGGCTTATCACACCAATGACAAAGGGCACAAACGCTCAAAAATCAAAGTAAAAATTTAATAAAACAGATAGGGTTGTACAATAAGATGATTACATAAGTGTGAGGCTCCGAAAGTAGGTCGAAATTCGCGTAAGATAATGTTTTAATTTCGTATAAAAAAAGTGTTTTTTTAATTATAATAATATATATGGTAAAAAGAAACAGTCTAACGCAAGGTGAATATATTATGTCCATATATAGTCATATCTGTAGAAATTTCTGAGAAAAAACGAATTTCTCAGAAAGAAACAATAGATGAATTTGAGTACTTAGATCGAACATCTTCGATAGGAATCAAATTGTCAGTCGGGGGGACTCACCCCGCGATCTGGGCTCCGATCCCGTTACAATTCGTAACGAGGAAGGGAGACCAATTAGAGAACGGGGGCAGATCGGCATCGCCCTATCGGAATGTTCGATCTGGGACTCAGAAAAACTTATAAAAATCGCGCAAAAATGGGAAGTGACATTCTTGGTTCTAAGTTCGGTGTGCTCCGCTTCTGGATTTTTCCTGCGGTTCGTCGTCCCGAAAGAAGTTTTCGCCATTCTGTCCCAGCAACTTTCGCCAAGGGTAATCTTCTGTGAGAATCACCCCTTCAAGTTGTGCTGTGCGCCCCGGAGCCTACGTTTTCCTCATCGTCTTTGCCAAAAGAAGAGAAAATCATAGGAAAAATTGAACTTTATTTACGAACTGATTCACTCTGTGGATAGGCCTTATGCCGAAGAAAACAGTAGTTGTAAGCGAAATTTTTATATTTAATAAATAGTTTGCGATGGAGGACCTGTCTCAGTAAGTTTTTCCACTCCCACACGACAGTGCTGACCGCTCGACTGTCGCGACACTTTTTCCCCAATCGGCAAACCTCACAAGTATAAAAACCGTAAAAATCCAAAATGCATTTCGGACTATTTTCCAATGGAAAAATAGTCCCTCATCAGTTGGTAATAGCGACAGGTCTAAGTATACTTAAAATTATACAAGGTGAAAAAAATATTAAATTTAAAATTAAACTAAAAAATATGCCTAAAGCTATACAATATAAAGATGAAACCGTCGGCATGACTGTACGAGCAGTAAGCATATCAATGGGGACAGGAGTAATGTTTCTTCCTAACGTTGCATGGTAACATGATGAACAGGGTGCTGATACAAAAATAGTTATAAGTTAGCCGAAATATTGGTTAACAGTTATGAACTAATATTATACAGTCAGTTTAAATTATGTACATACCAAAAACAGTAGAACAACAGAGTTGCAGGTTCAGACATTTTTACAAGATGCAGGGAGCGGTTACAAAGGAGGTGTGTTACCTTACACATCTGGAGCACAAGTGGTGACAACATATGATGCAGCCAGATGTCACTGTTAATTTTATCTATTTTAACTTTTAATAGATGAAGGCCCATGCTCAATTATCAATTGGGATCTAGGCAAATTATTCTTTAAATGTAACATTGCAGAAATTGCTTTTAGCCCTTAGTATAATTAAATTAATTAATCAAAATATCTATAACCATAAGGTAGATAATAGGAAGGGCTTATCACACCAATGACAAAGGGCACAAACGCTCAAAAATCAAAGTAAAAAAATTTAATAAAACAGATAGGGTTGTACAATAAGATAATTACAAAGTATAAAAACCGTAAAAATCCAAAATGCATTTCGGACTATTTTCCAATGGAAAATAGTCCCTCATCAGTTGGTAATAGCGACAGGTCTAAGTATACTTAAAATTATACAAGGTGAAAAAAATATTAAATTTAAAATTAAACTAAAAAATATGCCTAAAGCTATACAATATAAAGATGAAACCGTCGACATGACTGTACGAGCAGTAAGCATATCAATGTTGACAGGAGTAATGTTTCTTCCTAACGTTGCATGGTAACATGATGAACAGGGTGCTGATACAAAAATAGTTATAAGTTAGCCGAAATATTGGTTAACAGTTATGAACTAATATTATACAGTCAGTTTAAATTAAGTACATACCAAAAACAGTAGAACAAGAGAGTTGCAGGTTCAGACATTTTTACAAGATGCAGGGAGCGGTTACAAAGGAGGTGTGTTACCTTACACATCTGGAGCACAAGTGGTGACAACATATGATGCAGCCAGATGTCACTGTTAATTTTATCTATTTTAACTTTTAATAGATGAAGGCCCATGCTCAATTATCAATTGGGATCTAGGCAAATTATTCTTTAAATGTAACATTGCAGAAAATTGCTTTTAGCCCTTAGTATAATTAAATAAATTAATTAAAATATCTATAACCATAAGGTAGATAATAGGAAGGGCTTATCACACCAATGACAAAGGGCACAAACGCTCAAAAATCAAAGTAAAAAATTTAATAAAACAGATAGGGTTGTACAATAAGATAATTACAAAGTATAAAAACCGTAAAAATCCAAAATGCATTTCGGACTATTTTCCAATGGAAAATAGTCCCTCATCAGTTGGTAATAGCGACAGGTCTAAGTATACTTAAAATTATACAAGGTGAAAAAAATATTAAATTTAAAATTAAACTAAAAAATATGCCTAAAGCTATACAATATAAAGATGAAACCGTCGACATGACTGTACGAGCAGTAAGCATATCAATGTTGACAGGAGTAATGTTTCTTCCTAACGTTGCATGGTAACATGATGAACAGGGTGCTGATACAAAAATAGTTATAAGTTAGCCGAAATATTGGTTAACAGTTATGAACTAATATTATACAGTCAGTTTAAATTAAGTACATACCAAAAACAGTAGAACAACAGAGTTGCAGGTTCAGACATTTCTACAAGATGCAGGGAGCGGTTACAAAGGAGGTGTGTTACCTTACACATCTGGAGCACAAGTGGTGACAACATATGATGCAGCCAGATGTCACTGTTAATTTTATCTATTTTAACTTTTAATAGATGAAGGCCCATGCTCAATTATCAATTGGGATCTAGGCAAATTATTCTTTAAATGTAACATTGCAGAAAATTGCTTTTAGCCCTTAGTATAATTAAATAAATTAATTAAAATATCTATAACCATAAGGTAGATAATAGGAAGGGCTTATCACACCAATGACAAAGGGCACAAACGCTCAAAAATCAAAGTAAAAAAATTTAATAAAACAAATAGGGTTGTACAATAAGATGATTACATAAGTATAAAAACCGTAAAAATCCAAAATGCATTTCGGACTATTTTCCAATGGAAAAATAGTCCCTCATCAGTTGGTAATAGCGACAGGTCTAAGTATACTTAAAATTATACAAGGTGAAAAAAATATTAAATTTAAAATTAAACTAAAAAATATGCCTAAAGCTATACAATATAAAGATGAAACCGTCGACATGACTGTACGAGCAGTAAGCATATCAATGTGGACAGGAGTAATGTTTCTTCCTAACGTTGCATGGTAACATGATGAACAGGGTGCTGATACAAAAATAGTTATAAGTTAGCCGAAATATTGGTTAACAGTTATGAACTAATATTATACAGTCAGTTTAAATTATGTACATACCAAAAACAGTAGAACAACAGAGTTGCAGGTTCAGACATTTTTACAAGATGCAGGGAGCGGTTACAAAGGAGGTGTGTTACCTTACACATCTGGAGCACAAGTGGTGACAACATATGATGCAGCCAGATGTCACTGTTAATTTTATCCATTTTAACATTTAATAGATGAAGGCCCATGCTCAATTATCAATTGGGATCTAGGCAAATTATTCTTTAAATATAACATTGTAGAAATTGCTTTTAGCCCTTAGTATAATTAAATTAATTAATCAAAATATCTATAACCATAAGGTAGATAATAGGAAGGGCTTATCACACCAATGACAAAGGGCACAAACGCTCAAAAATCAAAGTAAAAAAAAAAAAATTTAATAAAACAGATAGGGTTGTACAATAAGATGATTACATAAGTATAAAAACCGTAAAAATCCAATTATCTACCTAATCCAATCCTACCAAAATCCAATTATCTTCCTATTATCTACCTTATGGTTATAGATATTTTGATTAATTAATTTGTTTATAGCATAGTTTATACAGATTATTCCCAAAAAATTAGTCTAGAATTGATTAATTTTATGAAAGAAAACCTTTCAAACAGTCATAGTCCATAAACTTCACACGTGTCGGGTGTCAAGCTGTGATTGGCTCATGCATTTAAGGATTCCTACAACGTGAAATTCTTATAACATGGAACGTAGCTACATGTTATAGGGAGGTCTACTGTATTATTCTTAGTATTTATTTTGGTTTCTTCCTCTTTGTTAGTTCTTTTGTCTATCACCTTCTAGGAATTTCTTCCTAATAGGATGTGTTGTGAGGACGTCCAGGTTGTTCTGGCATCGACTGGAGAACAAAGGAGACAATATGACTAAGCTAGCATTCGAGAGGAGCCCGAAATATATCTTGATATAAGGATCTTTAGAAGCTTATTGAGAGAACCTGATAGAGTTCTACAAGAGTTAATAATTCAAAAATCAACACCATCACTCCAAGATCGTTGACACTTTGGGTACCCATTCTTTTCTATCATGTATCCAGCTATCCTATTGTCTATCTTTTCTTCCTCTTTCTTTTTAGTATAAGTAGTTTTAAGTACAGGTAGGCCTCCTACAACGCGTTAGATACGCTCCTTCAAAATACCGCGTTGTGGGAAATCGCATTATAGGAGACACCAACTTAATGCAAAAACTGGGATTCGGTTCTAAAAAAAGAAAAACTTGACGTTTGAATGGCATTTTTTGAATTTTTCAAACCAGCTATTGCTAGCCACGAATTTAACACTGGTTTCATCAGCCGACGACTGTCCCATTTTTTTTAAATAATCAAATATTTTTAAGGCTTTGTGTTTAAGTGCACTTTTATTTAAAGGCAACCGTTTCTTGTTCATATCTTCTACCCATAATATTAGCGTTTGTTCCATTTTTGTTTTCATTATAGGTGCTCTCAGACGAGCAGCATTTTTCGCAAGAATAGATGTTCCGGATGCAACTGAATTCCTAATCTTTTCTTCCTATTGCTTAATCGACCGAGTAGTTGACTCATTTAAATTAAAATGCCTACCAATATCAGCTATCCGCTCCTGATTTTTAATTTGATCCAAAATTTCTATCTTTGTTTGAAGAGATATATTAATAAATTTCCTTTCTAACGACAGTCCTTTCTTTTCATTCGACATTGTTATAGCTAAAATTTTTTCAAGCANATCCAAAATTTCTATCTTTGTTTGAAGAGATATATTAATAAATTTCCTTTCTAACGACAGTCCTTTCTTTTCATTCGACATTGTTATAGCTAAAATTTTTTCAAGCAGTTTTGTGGACAGTAAAAATCGCAAAAAGTAACTTCCCTTCACTATGTTGTTAAAAATATACACCCAATAGACGTTTATACTGTATTTTGGACCATTTTTGTGGTCCCCACCTATTGAAAGAGTATAAATTATTGAAAATTCAGTGATATATTTGAGTGTTTATGGTAACTGATGCACATCTGTCTAGATACCAGTCTTCCCCTGAAACTTTCATGGGAATAACACGTCAATGTGGACAAACAGCTGTTTTCCAGAACATTTAGCTCTGTACACTGAACTGCGGCGCGTATTATGTGATCTGTTGCGATTTTTCTGTTCGTTTCTAAATATCGTAAACTGCGTAGTAAGAAAATTTCCGCATTTTTCCAACCGTGTTGGAGCGAAAACGCGTTGTAAAGGTACCACGTTGGAGCGAAAACGTGTTGTAAAGGTACCGCATTGTCGGAGGCCTACCTGTATTTAGTCATAGTTCTTTTTTTTCTGTACTGCAGTGAATATTTTTTGTCGCAAGGTTATACTCAATGATTCTGTCCAAGTATCTGCAGAAATTGTATGTAAAAGAACAAAAATGAGGAGTGTTGGAATTTATAAAAGAATCCTGTAAAGAAAAACACGGGTGAAGGAAGAACATATGTGTTATATGCTTATCCTCTTGTTGGATTACATTCACCATGTGTATATTATACCTTCTAATTCTCTTACTAGAGTCAAATTTCACGAGTTGTTCCTCCATTTTGTCGTTCAGGTCTAACTTCAAATTCAATAGCTTTTTCTCAGATATAGTCTCGAAAGTGTACTCTTTCTCTGAAAGACAGCATTCAAGGATTAATGTTTTATTTTTACTGGATTTAAGGTATTTTTGATATTAATTTTTTTAGCAAGAGAACTTTGAAATCTGTGCAAAATTTAAAAATTTAACTTTTGGTCAAATTGTTTATAGGTCTAAAAGTTTGTAACTAGGGAAGCTCCTATATATACATTTTTTCTTAATTTATGCATTAATGTATTTGATTAGTTACAAAATATTAATTTCCTTAAACATTGAAAATGAATCATTTCTAATGTTTGAGGAGTTGAAACTTTGATAGATTTTGGATTTTATGTAAATGTTTTCTCACATACACTATGATCTTGTTTTATATAGGGGTGATATGTAAAATAAAATTCTGCATTCCAAGTAGTCCCACATGGCTGCCTAAACCAGTAGTTCTCAACCCATGTTCTGTAGAACACAAGTATTTCAAAAAGTTGTCCTAAGCATTCAATTAAAAAAAATTTTAGTTTTTATTACAAATTTATTCCAATGTACAGTACTACAACATATTATTTTATTTGTAAACAATTCCCTCTTTCCTATTTTATTCAATACAAAAAGTTTATTAGCTTATTACTTCATTGTATCATGAGAATAGTAAACATGGAACTGCTTATTAATTTTTTTTTTAAATGAATGCTATTGCTCCACATAATAAAAAATACAGTGGGTGACCGGTTAACAAACATAATCCGTTCCAAGACTTTGTTCGTTAACAGATTATCGATTTACCATAGGTTTTTATGGGAATTTTATTAATTCGTTCCGAAGACTACAAAAAATATAAAATATAAAAATAAACGTAGTAAAAAAGTATATATGTAATAGTAAAAATACATATATATGCAGTNTAGAAATGCCAGTACTACACTACAAAAAATATAAAATATAAAAATAAACGTAGTAAAAAAGTATATATGTAATAGTAAAAATACATATATATGCAGTCTTGCATTTTTATTAGTCATGTTTTTTCTGTTTGTGGGTGTTAACAAATCTATCTAATGTCGATTGCTTCTCTCTTTTCTTCAGGATTTTTCAGAAGTAATTAATAGCATTGTAATTGTAGAGATACCCAACCCCATTAATTTTATTCTGGTTTGGATGCCACTTGGATGATCATTGTTCTGACATCCCTGGAATTCTTCTGTTGTCAGATCAGTTTCCATTATGAGCTCTAAAATGCTTTTTATTTCTCAGATGTGATTTTCATTATTCCATTAGCAGCTTGAGACTTCTTGATATATCTTTCATAGCTAAGATTGTGCCTACTGTAGACCTGTTCAAGCCATACTGCCTAGCAACATCAGACATCTTGTGCCCATTTTCTACCTTGGCTATTATCTCTTCCTCGGTTTCTACAGTGAGCACAGTTCTTGACACTCCTCTTTTTAGGCTCCATAATATTATCAGTTTCTTTTTTAAATGAAAAGTTCAGAAAAGCACTTACAAAAATTCAGAACACAAATCAACTAGCTCACAAAAAATTATTTAAATGCAAGGCCTAGATGAAATTTGGTATTAAAACATTAACAAATATTAACAAATAGGCCTAGATGAAATTTGGTATTAAAACATTAACAAACAAAAATATTAATAAAAAAATGTGCAGTTAAACTTTCACCTTTTGTAAATAAACCCCGATGCAAAACTTAACAAGTGCCCATCCAACAGTCTCACAAAGACTAAAAAATTATTTGTCAGAAAGGTAAACAAAAAGCTGGAATTACAAGGGAGAGTTTCAAAATTTGGAGGGATACTATCCGATTGGTATCAGATTGAGCGTCGACTAACAAGTCCTTTTAAGCAAAATATTGTGTGAATATCAAGTCCTCTTTTCTGTAAAATGTAACGTATGTACCAGCTGCTAACA